GCATTTGCGACGAACTGTTGTTGGAGAGGCCTTGCGGCCGGTGCCGCCGACCCTGAACGACGACGACGACGAGCGCTCTCGGGAGCTCTCGGGATTAGTTCGGCGGCCTCTTGGGAGGCTCTTGGGGTCTCTTGGGAGCCTCGTTGGGGCTTCCTGGGCGCCCTTCTGGCGGAGGGCTGGATATGTTCGTTCGGGCCCCACGTATGGGCTCCCTCTTGGAGCCGTCCTCGGGGCCTCCTGGGCCGTCTTCGGGGCCTCTTGGGTCCTCGTGGGGCCGTCTTGGGTTGTCTTGGGGGGATCTTGGGGGCCTCTTGGGCTGTCTTGGAGCGCCAGAAATTGTCCAAGGAGGGCGTTTCCTTCCCCGGCATTGCACCCTCAGGGTCAGCCGGTCTCACCGTTATCCTTTCCTGCTCGCCGCCGGGCATTGCACCCTCCGGGTCAGCCCTCGTCCTCGGTCTTTTCCTGCCCCGGCATTGCAACCTCAGGGTCAGCCGGCCTCCTCGTTCGCCTCTCCTCCTCTCCGCCGGGCAGTGCACCCTCAGGGTCAGCTCATGTCCACCCTCTCTTAATATTGTATTGAACATGTCGTAGCCATTTTCGCTCTTTGCTCAAATATCTGCGGCCGGTGCCGCCGACCCTGAACGAACCCGACGGCCATCCCGACGCCCAACCCGACGCTGAACCCGATGGCGACTGGCCCGCACCACGGCGTGCACTACCTTATGATCAACAGGGAGACGAGGATGAAGTGCTGGTTCTACTTGTCGCACCTTGACATGTGGGTGCCGCTCTACGTGCCGATCTCGGGCGACGACCCGTGGCCGCAGTTCCCTAAGCTCAAGGACTGCAAGGCTGAGCTCATCCAGGACATCCTGGGCAACAACGTCCCCGAGAGGACAGCGGCTAGCATTCAGGACAGCGGCTAGCATTCATCTCAAGGATTCCTTGCGTTTCATGCGACATAACGAGATGCGACGGCAGTGCACCCCCAGGGTCAGCCCCCGCCCCCGCGCGTTTCCTTTCCCGGCATTGCACCCTCTGGGTCAGCCGGTCTCATCGTTATCCTTTCCTGCTCGCCGCCGGGCATTGCACCCTCCGGGTCAGCCCTCGTCCTCGGTCTTTTCCTTCCATGGCATTGCACCCTCAGGGTCAGCCGGCCTCCCCGTTCGCCATTCCTCCTCTCCGCCGGGCAGTGCACCCTCAGGGTCAGCCCATGTCCACCCTCTCTTAATATTGTCTTGAACATGTCGTAGCCATTTTGGCTTTTGGCTCAAATAGTTTTGTGCATTTGCGACGAACTGTTGTTGGAGAGGCCTTGCGGCCGGTGCGCGCTTGCCCGCGGAGGGGCCGCGTGGCGCGTGTACTCCCAGGGTCAGCCGCGCGGCCCCGGGGCCGTCTGGCGATTGCACCCCCAGGGTCAGCCGGGCGGCTTCGCCGGGCGCCATGCTGGCGCGGAAGCGCCCTGCGGCGTCCGACTTCGCCGCTTCCCGCTACGCTGCTGATGTTTGGGGCCTCGCGGGAGGCAGGGGCAAGCGCGGCCGCAGGAAGAGGACGGCCGCCGCGGACGAAGGGCCGCAGGTGGAATGTAGAGATTACTCCAACTGCAACCAGCGCAACGAGGACGCGTGTAAGGACCTGCTGATTTCTCTGGCCACGGGTGACTTGCGAGGGCGCCTGACGCGCAGCCGCTACGACCTGGAGAGTGCCCGGCGCTCGGAACGGCTGAGACAGATCGAGGCGGGGATAGCGCTCGATGACGACTGGTTGGAGGAGGCGGCGAGTGTCTTCAACGTCCCTACCCGCAAGAGGAAGCAAATGCAGGTCGTGGAAGACGTCCTGGAGGCCGTGCGACAGACCCGACAGCGGGCCTCCGGGCACGGCGACCGCCATGGACGCCGATCGCAGGGCGGCGACGCAGAGGGATATCCAGAGGCCGCAAGGTGTAGACGCGCTGAGGGATGAGCTGCTAGTCAGATCTAGTTCGGAGGATCTGCGCCTGCGCGTGGTGGGCGAGTGCCTCCAGCGGCGCGGAGGTTGGCCCGCCGAGGCAGCAGAGCTTGGCGGCGACGCCCCGGGGCCGTCTGGCGATTGCACCCCCAGGGTCAGCCGGGCGGCTTCGCCGGGCGCCATGCTGGCGCGGAAGCGCCCTGCGGCGTCCGACTTCGCCGCTTCCCGCTACGCTGCTGATGTTTGGGGCCTCGCGGGAGGCAGGGGCAAGCGCGGCCGCAGGAAGAGGACGGCCGCCGCGGACGAAGGGCCGCAGGTGGAATGTAGAGATTACTCCAACTGCAACCAGCGCAACGAGGACGCGTGTAAGGACCTGCTGATTTCTCTGGCCACGGATGACTTGCGAGGGCGCCTGACGCGCAGCCGCTACGACCTGGAGAGTGCCCGGCGCTCGGAACGGCTGAGACAGATCGAGGCGGGGATAGCGCTCGATGACGACTGGTTGGAGGAGGCGGCGAGTGCCTTCAACGTCCCTACCCGCAAGAGGCAGCAAATGCAGGTCGTGGAAGACGTCCTGGAGGCCGTGCGACAGACCCGACAGCGGGCCCCGGGCACGGCGACCGCCATGGACGCCGATCGCAGGGAGGCGACGCAGAGGGATATCCAGAGGCCGCAAGGTGTAGACGCGCTGAGGGATGAGCTGCTAGTCAGATCTAGTTCGGAGGATCTGCGCCTGCGCGTGGTGGGCGAGTGCCTCCAGCGGCGCGGAGGTTGGCCCGCCGAGGCAGCAGAGCTTGGCGGCGACGCCCCGGGGCCGTCTGGCGATTGCACCCCCAGGGTCAGCCGGGCGGCTTCGCCGGGCGCCATGCTGGCGCGGAAGCGCCCTGCGGCGTCCGACTTCGCCGCTTCCCGCTACGCTGCTGATGTTTGGGGCCTCGCGGGAGGCAGGGGCAAGCGCGGCCGCACGAAGAGGACGGCCGCCGCGGACGAAGAGCCGCAGGTGGAATGTAGAGACTACTTCTACTGCAACCAGCGCAACGAGGACGCGTGTAAGGACCTGCTGATTTCTCTGGCCACGGATGACTTGCGATGGCGCCTGACGCGCAGCCGCTACGACCTGGAGAGCGCCCGGCGCTCGGAACGGCTGAGACAGATCGAGGCGGGGATAGCGCTCGATGACGACTGGTTGGGGGAGGCGGCGAGTGTCTTCAACGTCCCTACCCGCAAGAGGAAGCAAATGCAGGTCGTGGAAGACGTCCTGGAGGCCGTGCGACAGACCCGACAGCGGGCCCCGGGCACGGCGACCGCCATGGACGCCGATCGCAGGGAGGCGATGCGCAGGCGCACGTGGAGCTCCATGGCCGTGTTGCACGAGGCGAAGGTCTGGGGTATGCGCGCGACGCAGAGGGATATCCAGAGGCAGCAAGGTGTCGACGCGCTGCGGGATGAGCTGCTGGTCAGATCTTGTCCGGAGGATCTGCGCCTGCGCGTGGTGGGCGAGTGCCTCCAGCGGCGCGGAGGCTGGCCCGCCGAGGCAGCAGACCTCGGCGGCGACGACCTCTGGGCGCGCCGCTATTTGCACAGCGCGATGGCCCGAAGGTACGCCAGCGCCTCCACTGGCGAGCAGCTCTTGCCGGGCGACGTGGCGCGGTGGCAGCAGCTGCTCGACAGGATCCCGGATGCGCAGCGGCCCACCTGGCAGGCGGACCCTCTGCGCCAGCAGTTGCAGGCCCACTACGAGGAGCATGGCCACCTGAACGTGAGGCCCTCGACCAGGAGGGCCGACGATCCCGATCGCCTTCTACTCGAAGCTTTGAAGGTCCTGCGCCGCGCACGGCTGGAGGATGTCAGGGGCGAGCGCGGCCATCTGCTGCGCCGGCAGCTCTCGCCCGGGGACCTGGCCGCGTGGGAGACGGCGGTCCCGGCCAACGTGTTGTGGGGCACGGTGCGCCAGGCCGAGGCGTATATCCCTGGCAGCGCTATTCTCGGCAGCCGGTGCGAATGGCCCAGAGAGCCCGTCTGCTGCCAGCCGTGCCCGTGCTATCTTTGCGGCCAGGACTTCGCCACGAAGCAGTTGTTGCAGGAGCACTGGCGCGAGGAGCACGTGAACCTGCCCGAGGCCGAGCGGGGCTTGCTGGCGCCGCGGCGAGTGGAGGAAGAGGTCCGAAAGAGAATCCTTGCGGACGAACAGCTGGAGGGCCCCTTCGAGGTCCGGGGCGCCGAGCAGCGCCGCGCGCTCGGACGCTTCGCCGAGAACCAGACGCAGAGCCGACCGGGGGGTGCGTGGGCCGGGCACTTCGAGAGCCAGCAGACCGCCCCGACCACCTGCCGCGCTCTGAGCGGCTGCGTTGTCTGCGCGCGCTCTTTCTGGCTGGAGGAACTCTTCGACGCGGACTTGTTCGTGGAGCCCGTGGACCCCGAGCTGGCAGCGGGCGCCGGCGATCCCGCGGCGGACGGCGCCCAGGGGCACGGCGCGGAAGGCGCGCCGGCGGACGCGCCTGCGCGTCAGCCCCGGGGGCACCCGGAGCCGCCGCCCGCCGAGGACGCGGCCCCGCCGCGCCGGGCTCGCTTCGCGGTGCGGCCCGAGGCCGCCGCGAAAGTCCACGCGCTCCTCTCCGTGGAGCGCTATGCCGCGAGGTGGCCGCTGATCCCGCGGCACGAGCTGTGGGCCTCCAGCGTGCCGCACCCGCGCAGGCCCGAGTGGCGGTGGCTGCTGCACGTTCACAGGTTGCCCTGCCTTAGCCTCGACGAGCACGGGCGGGCACCGCTGGTGAAAGTGTGTTTTGATTGCGGCAAGACCTTGGAGGGCGCGCCGGCAGTGAAAATGCCAATGTACGCCCTGGCGAACGACAACTGGATCGGCCGAGTCCCTTTTCCTCTCCGGCCTGGCGGCGAGCCGTTGCGGGACATGGAGCTGCGATCGCTGGCCAGGGGCCGCGTGTGCGTGAACAAGATCATCGCCGAGCCCGAGAAGAGAGGCCCACGAGACGAACGGCAGGGGGGGCTCGTTGGGAACTTTATCTGTTTCCCGCAGGCGAAGGTTTGGGGCGGTCTCCAGCTGCGCTCCTGGGGGCGCGCGCCAGCACGTCGTCGGAACCCCGTCGGAACCTCCCCCGGATGTTTCAGGGGCGCGGGGAGAGGTTCCGGGGGGATGTTTCAGGGGCGCGTCCGGGGGATGTCCGGGGGATGTTTCAGGGGCGCGGGGAGATCAGAGTCCGGGGCAGGTTCCGACGAGCCGGTCAGATGTTGGATTCCAGGGGAGGGCGATTTCTGCCGTTGCTGGCGCGCGTGGCCCAGGCGGCGCGCCTGGAGACGTCTCGCAAGGTGGATCTCCTGCGCAGCGCCGAGCTGCCCGCCCCCCCTGCCGAGGCGCAGCGATTCCTCGCTGAGTCCGTCGTCATTGCCCTGGCAGGGGCCGACGTGGACGACCTCAGCAAGGCCCGGTGGGCCAACGTGCGCAAGGGCGAATACATGGGGGCCGCCAGCTTCCTGACCTCCCATTCGGTCTCGTACAACGACATGACCTGCAACCAGGACAGGGCAGACGCCGTCATGAGCGACGCCGGCGCCGTCCCCGAAGCCGTGCGAAGCATCGCAATCCCCATTGAGGTCTCCGAGCAGCTGAAGCACCGGCTGGAGGGCCCCGCCGACGCCTGCGCCGGGGCCGACGAGCAAGTCGTCAGGGTGGACGGGGAGGAGTGCGTGTCCGAGCACGAGGCAGAGGAAGAGGAGGGGGAGAACGATCTCAACGCCGCGCTGCCCGACCCGGACTTCCCCGCCGAGGCGCTCCCGGCGATGTCTTTCTGCGCCGATGCCGCGACTGGCGGCGACCTCGACGAGCTCCAGGCGATCCGCAAGGTGCACGGTGAGCTCGAGGCTCTGCAGGATTCCATGCGCGAGGAGGCCTCCGGCATGGGCTACCCGCGCCGGCGCCTCATCAAGCAGCTTCAGGTCAGCGCCAGAGGCATGCTGGATCGCGGCTTGGCGGACAGGATCCACCACCACCACAAGACGGTGACGGCCCTGGAGGAGACGGGCCAACGGGCGGCGGCTCCCGGAGGCGCGATGGAAGGGTATGCCCAGGGCACTGCCACACAGCCGCTCTCGATGTACAGCCCCGAGCTCTGGTCCATGTGCTTCCCCGACAAGTTCCCGTACGGCGACGGCGTGTTCGGCTTGTCCAGGACTGCGCCCATGTCGTTCCATCAGTGCACGTCAATGCACCTGCTCCGCGAGGAGCTGGTGTATCAGGTCACGCCCGAAGATTTGGCCGCGGCCGCCGCTTGCAAGGCGTGGGTCGAGACCGCCGCGGACGGGCCCGGCGCGACCGGGCAGTCTCGCCCCTCCGGCTGCTCCTGCGCCTGCCAGCAGTGCAGAGAGGCGTGCCGGCGCTACGTCGCGCCCGAGCAGCCGCGCTGGGGAGCCGACCGCGATCTCATCTGCTGCTACTACGACGCCGGGCGCCGCATCGAGCAGATCCGCAGGGCCAGGGGCCACGTGCACAGAACGGGCTTCCAGGAGCGCCTGGAGAAGATCTGCGCGGCCTCCACGGAGAAGCTCGATGCCGCCGTGCAGAGCCTAGGGCCGAATGCGTCCCTGAAGGACGCGATGCGGTCCCCCGCCGTGGACCAGGACGTCAAAGACGCGCTCTCCGAGCTCATGGTGTTCACCTCAGAAGTTCTCGGCTCGGACGGCGCGCGCGCGAAATTGCGCCACGAGCAGAACGGCTTCGCCCTCATGTTCGGCGGCGCCGGTGGCTTTCTGACTCCGAACGTCGCGGACGTGCGGAGCCCCATCTTGCTTGCCCTGCACGCGGCGGGGGGCTGCGAGACCCGCGCCGTGGACCTCCTCGCGGAAGCCCCAGACATGCCCTCCGCGCGGAAGATGCTCCAGATCGTGGCGCAGGACCCGGTGGCCCAGGCCCGCTTCTTCATCTTTAGCATGCAGCTTTTCTGCGAGCACGTGCTGGGCACGGGCCCCTGGGACGCCCAACTGCGCCACAACGGCCGTTGCGACGGGGCGGCTTTCCCCGATGGCTTCGCCACTTCGTGCACGGGCGGAGCCTTCCTCATGTTGGCGGCGCTGCACGGGCCCATCGAGGAGCAGGCCCGGCTGTCCATCCACCCGCACATCCTCCTTTGGTTCGTGCACGCGCAGTCCGAGCAGTGGCTCCGGTGCGTGCTCAACAGGGAGACCGAGGAGATCCGGCAGCGGCTCCGCGTGTGGCAGGAGAAGACCTTGGCCGCAGTGCAGTCCATGCAGCTGGACTCAGCGGCCGTGCTCCCGCTGCTCCTCACCGACGACCCCGACCGGGCGCCCGAGCCCAGGAACACGCCCTTCTCCGAGAAGCTGCAGCGGGATTGCCGCATGGATGGGGAGCTGGAGCACGACGTGGAAGAGCCGGAGAAACGGCGCGTCTTCTTGGCCACAGAGCCCCCGTTCGAGGACCACCACCTCCGACGGCATCGGATGTCCTTGGCGCCCGAGGCGCGACCCATGAGCGAATACATGGTGCCCCAGACGGGCGCCCAGCTCTGTCGCCTCGAGCACTACAGGCTGCTGCGCCCGACCACGGGCGACGACCTGGAGACCGCGGCGGGCCGGAGCGCGGAGGCGGCGGCCTGGGCCGCGCGCTACGCCGAGGATTACCGCCAGGACATCGCCGTGGGCCAGATGCACCAGCACAAGGACACGTGCTTCAAGTACGTTGTCGAGAAGTCCATGCGCTTCGCGCGGCACTGCCGCTTCAACTTCTGCCACTTCGTCAAGCTCTGGCTCCGCGTCGGCGACGGCGGGGACTCCTCGGCGCAGCAGAAGCGCCCCAAGAAGCTGGTGACCTTGGCGCGGACCGGCAAAGACCTCGTGCTGCCGCGGGGGCCAGGGGAACCGGAGCCCGACATGTTCCCCCTGGACGAGGACGGCGCGCCCGTGCCCCTGCGCCCCGGGCGCAAACTCGGCCCGGTCGTCAACGTCGATCCCGACCATGGGAAGCAGGGTCTGGTCATGCCCATTCGCTGGAACCCGATGGAAGGCAGCTCCAACGGCGTGGCCCAGACGGCGCTGAACTGCAACGTGGACTTCCAGAGTATGATGCGCACGTTTTCGGACGGGTTTCATTCGGGAGCCCGGGACATGTTGCGCGACCCGCCCCTCTCTGCGGACGAGGAGGCCGCGCTCGAGGCGAAGGAGGGCCGAGAGTTTTTGGCGAACCTCCCCGACAGCGTGGAGAAGCTCGTGGCCGCCCGCAAGAGGGCCCACATGCCAGAGCTCGAAGATCACGAGGCCGAGATGATGCTCAGGCAACGGCGAGAAGCCCGCAAGGCGGCGCAGCGGAAGCTGGGCCCAGCCGAGCGCTTCAGGCGCGGTATCAGAGCGCTGACCGTTAACATCATGAAGCAGTCCATTCAGGCCATGTTCTACGCCTGCGACTACTCCACCAAGCCGAACATGACCTGCGCGCCCCTCCTGGTGGCGGTGCGCGACGGCATTCGGCGCCTGGAGGAGCGGCTCCGCCTCGAGGAAGAAGAGGCGGCGGCGGCGGAGGAGACGGGGGGTGCGGGGGTCCCGCGGCCGAAGCCGCTGAGGAGGGGGCCCGCGCTGAGCCAGGTCAGAGGGCGCTGATTAGAGGGGATGGGGCGGGCCTGGGGGGTTGGGATCGGGCGGAGCAAGCGCAGCTTTTTGGTTGCAAAAAAGCCAAAAAGCAGGCTTGCTTCGTGGGAGAATTTGGAGGGGGGGGTGGCCACGCGGGGCCGTTCGGGGGCCTTGCCTGTTGAAGCTCCCTTGGGCCTCCTTCGAGTGCCTCGAGCGCCCTCGGGGCCGTCTCGGGAGCTTGTTGGGCCCTTCTTGAGGCTCCAGGGGGCGCCCGAGGCTCGAGTTGTGGCCCGAAAGCATGTTGTCCCAGGTCTGTGAAGTCTGGGCTCCTCGGGGGAACGCATGGCTTCGGATCTCAAGCTCTAGCTTATCCCGAGGTCCAGGACGAGGCTCGGCGGCGCTTGATCCGACAGGCCACCGCTGCCAACCAGGCCATCGTGAAGGGGAACTGCCTCATGGTCATGCAGATGCTCACCCGACGCGAGGTGCTGCGGTCCCACTCCACCTGGCAGTTGATGATGAAGAACGCCATGTGGTTGGCCTTCGAGAGCCGACGAATTCGGCAGGGGTTCGACGAGCGCGAGCAGCTGCACGAGGCCACGGTGCTCCTCGACGCCGCGGAAGTGGACAGCCAGGCCACTGACTCGGACGATTGTGACAGCGAGCCCGAGGAGCGCGAAGAGAGCGCCGACGGCGACGCCGCCGACGAGGCTTCAGACATCCCAGAGGCACCGCGCAATCATGCGTCGCCGCTGGGCACACGCGGCGAGAGTCCGGCTGGGCCGCGGAGGCGCCCCGCAGCGATTGCACCCGCAGGGTCAGCTGCGCGCCCGGCGCCGCCGCCGGCCAGCGTTGCCGCCGAGCTCGGTTCTGCTGCCTCCACGCAGGTCGCGGCCGCGGGCGGCGCGCCCACAGACGATCTCTTCGCGGCGCGCGGGGAGCGCGGCCCTTTCTTGGCCGAGGAGGCCACGGACGAGCCGCAGCAGAGAAACGCGGGGGTCCGCCTGAAGAGCAACAGCTACTACGACGACTACTTGCACCGCGGCTCCGCCGAGTTCGGCGCGTCGGGTCGAGCGGCGAAGACTCCCCTGGCCTCCATGTCGTATTACGACTACGGCATGTGGGTGCGCGTCGTGCCCGGGGACCCGAACGCCCTGGCGCCAGACGAGTACGCTTTCGCCGGCCACTACGGGAAGCATGCCGATTACGTCCAGCAGCTGCGGGCCGCGCCGGCCGCGCCGTACATCTCCGGCTTCACGATGCCGACCGAAGAGAAGGACCCGGAGACGAACGCCTGTTTCAAGCAGGTGTTGTTGAGGCCGCATGCGTGCCCGGGGCCGGACAGCTGTCGCCAGGTGCACTTCGCCCAGCACTTCTGCTGCGCGTCCCGCAGCAGGGAGGGGGGGCGAGCCAGGGGTCGCGCCTCTCTCTCCTTCCTGGGACCTTGGCGCGCGTATCGCGCCGAGCAGCTCGTCCTGGCGAAGCGGGCCGACCAGGCCCTGCAGCGCTCGCGGCAATGCCCCGTGCTGCACGACACAACCGCCATCCGTTACTGGCATCTCCCCGGCACCGTGCGCGGGGGCCCGGTCCACGAGAGTTTCCTGCCGTTGCTCTGCGGCGGCCGCCATGCGACGGATCCTGGTTTGGACGGCACGTGGTGCCGCCGCCGCGAGATCCCGACCCCCGTCGCAGGCGCCGATCTGCAGCGGCCGTCGCGCGGAGCGGTGTGCTGGCGCATGGCCCTCCCGGTGGACCTCGCCTGGGCCGTGCTGCGCTTCGCGGGCGACGTCCGCGGCGACGACGGGCGGCGCCTGGGGGTCGCCGGCTCGGAGGAGGAGCGCGCTCGGCTCGACGAGCGGGCGGCCCTCGAGGGCGAGTCGATCGCCTGCGCCTGTCCTGGAGTTCACGACGACCAGCTGACCCCCGAGATGTTCTTCGCTGTTCGGCACGTGGAGGTGGCCGCCCGCCTGGAGTACATGGCCGAGGCCCGCGGGCTGCCCAAGCCGGCAAGGGGACCCAGCGACGCGGTGGCGGAGGAGGAGCTCGGCGGAGATCGCTCCGACGATGACGGGGTCTTCGGCCTGGACGAGGCTCTGCCAGGTGAAGATTCCTCCGCGGAGGAGCGCCAGGAAGTGGCAGACGCGCGAGAGGACATGGAGGGCATGAGACCTCGCTGGAGGCTGGCAGAGGACGAGTTCGACGACGTCGTGCACCGGACGGCGGCGGCCCAGGCGGCTAAGAGCAGTCGCGTGGGAGCGCACAAGAAAGCTTTGATGGAAACGTTCTTGCAGTTGCAACGCCGCGCTTACGCCTGCGTTCGGCAGCCCTGCGCCGTGCCCGAGCGCGCCCCTCGGCTGGCGGCGATGACTCCTGCTGACGTGCAGACCGCCAAAAAGAACCAGGACGCGATCCGCGAACAGAGGGCCGCCCAGGACGACAATCTGGAGGCCGCGGGCGCCGATCTGCCCGTCGCCGCGGCGGCCTTCTCCGACGCGCCCGCGCCGTCGAGGCGCCTCGGCCCGGAGGATGTGCCGATCTCCCCGCTGCAGGCGGCGCTGACCCTCATCGCCGAGTCTGGGGTCTGGAAGAGCAAGGAGCAGTACCTGGTGACGCTCTTCCTCCTTCAACCGATACAACAACTGTGGCAGAAGGCCCTCGAGACGGACGGCTTGGACAGCTTGTCCACGGCCGCGGGCCTCGCAGCGGCCTCGAGAGACGTGCAGGTCCGCCGCGTCTTCCTGCACGGCCCGGGGGGCTCGGGGAAGACGTATTGCATGACCGAGGTGGTCAACAAGGTGGTCGTGCGTTTCTTCGGGCACAGGGGGCTGAAGCTCGTGGCCGCGGCCAACAGCGCCGCCCGCATCCTCGGCGGCAAGACCATGCACGCGGCGGCGAAGCTGACGCGGAAGCAGTCTCTCGCGGCGAGTAAATTGAAACCCAACACCAGGGCGAAGAAGAAGTTGGAGGCCGAGTGGGAGTACCTTGTGCTCCTCCTCGCCGACGAGATCGGCCTGGCGTCCCCCCCGCTCCTTGCGGGCCTGAGTCGCCGCGCGACTTTCGGCCGCAAGGACTTGCTGCGGCTGTGCGTGGCGAGGGCCATCGAAGAGCCCTTCGGCCAGGTCCCCGTGCAGGCCATCATGGGCGACTTCATGCAGATCAACCCGGTCTGCAGCCACACGCTGCTGGAAGCCCTGCTGGCCCGCGCGCGCGTCCCCGGCGTGCCGCGGAAGATCACGGACGAGGACGAAGACGGCTGGAAGGTCTTCAGGAAGATGGCCTCCGACGTGGTCGTCTTCACTGGCACGCACCGCTTTCTCGACGAGGACCTACCGCTGCTCTTCGAGGTCATGCGCACTCCGGGCGGGGCGAGAGTGCCTGACGACTTGCGCGCGAAGATCAGAGATCGCGTCCAGCGGGGCCCCGACGACCCGAGGATGTCCATGGACTACGAACTGGAGGGCGTTCGGGGCTTCTTCGCCCTCGGCGCTCGCGCGGCGATCCAGTGGGAGCAGGTCGCGCGCCTGCAGCAGCTCCACGTGCTCGCCTCCGCGAGGGTCTGCCCTGGCCCCAGGGCCTTGCTCAACGGGGAGGACGGCCGGCCGGATCCTCGTCGCCACGGCTTCAGCGCGGCGCATTCGGGGGCGCGCGGGCAGCTCGTCTATTATTTCCAGGCCGTGGACCGCTTCAAGCACCACCAGGACCGAGACATGTACCTCGAGGCGCTGAAGTTCATGAACCTCTCCAAGAGCAACGGCCTGCCGGGCATGTGCGCGGCCTACTTGGGCATGCGAGGGCGGCTCACGAAGAAGGTCATGGGGCCGGAGCTGGTGCAGGAGGCCACGGGCGAGGTCGTGGGCATCCGCTTTCACCCGCGGGAGCGATTCGGCTTCGGGGAGAATCTCGGCGGCGGTTCTGAACGGCCCTCGCCGAATCACCCTTGCTGGCAGCGAGGATTCGTTGTTTGCGATTATCTCCCCGTGCATCTCGAGATTCGCTGGGACGGAAGCACGGTGGGCCCCTTGGCGAGCTCTGCAAACGACCGCGCCGAACTTCAGGGGGGTCGCGACTGCGGGGGGCGAGGGAAGGGGGCTGGGCCCTCTCGCGGGACCGAGGCCCCTCTTTGGAATCCAGACTTGAATCGGATCTTGAGCTCGGGCTGCTCGCGTGTTCAGGCAGCGCGACCTTGCGATCCATATCAGTTCGCGTCGGCAGTGCGACGCGACGCGGGCGTTTGCAGATCTCGACCAGGTGGACTACACTGGCCTGGGCAAGCGGGGCGTGTTCCATCTGGAGCCTGTGCAGGACGAGTGGGAGTTGCCCGTCGCGCGCGTGCAGACGGTGAATCACCCGGGCGCGCCTCGGGCCAAGCAGTTCGTCGTCAAGAGCAAGCAGAAGAAGGGGCTGCAGGTCGCGCGCACGCAGCTCAGTTGGGCGCCCGAGGACCAGCTTACTTTCCAGAGCATCCAGGGCCGCACTATCCGCGGGCCCGAGGGCCAGCCCAAAGGTTTCGTCGTCGACCTCTTTCGGCCTGGCACGATGCAGGGCGAGGATCGCCGGGGGGAGTACTTCCAGCACGTCTGGATGATCCTTGGAAGAGCCAGGAAGCTGGAATGGATGCTGCTGCAGAACTTTCCGCTCGACGAGAGCACCGGCGATCTGGACTGGTCGATCCTCGAGCAAGGGCCGCCGGACTACCTCGTTGAGTTCTTGGGCGCGGCTGCGACGCTCAGCAGGAGGACTTCGCGCAGGATGCTGCGCGCGCAGAAGGAGTTGGGGGCGCCGGCCTGGGAGGACGTGCCGGAGTGCCCGCTGGACCCCGACCGCCAGGGCAGATTCTTGTATATCGCCGAGGACTGGATCAGGGCGGGCGCCGCCTGCGCCCGGCCCGTCGCAAGCGCCTCGGCCGAGGCGAAGCCCGACGCGGCCCCGCGGAGGAGACTCTGGGGCAAGAGGCCGCGCGAGGAACTGCGCTCGAAGACGGACCGGCCGACCGCGCCGCCCGACGAGCCCGGGGGCGCTCCGCTGCGGCGGAAGCGGTCGCGCGGCGAGGGCGCCGGGGACGAGGGCGAGCGGGCCTGCGCGCCTCCTGGCGCGGCGCCAGCCTCTTCGACGCAGTCGACCCTGCCGTCGGCGCCCTCGGCCAGCGCCGGCGGCTGGCACTGTTCCTTGCTCGGCCGCGCCATCGGCCGACGAAGGAGCGCGCCCGCGTGGTTCAACAATCCTCTCATGGGCGAGGTCGACCCCGCGTCCGGCACCCAGCTGGGCCTCACGTGCGGTTTCTTCGCGGTGAACCATTGCCTGGGCCACGCGGGCATGCCGCAGCTGTCGGCCGAGGAGTTCCGGCAGGGCGCGGGAGACGGACTCTACCCCGAGGGTGATTTCGACGACGGGGGGTTGCGTCAGAACCTCGCAGAGCGCGGGTGCCATTTCGATTTGTTGCAGGGCGCGGACCACCAGGACGCCATCCTCGCCGTGGGGGACTCCGACAGCTGTCTGGCTGTCTTCAACGGCAACCACGCCTTGGGTGTCATCCTGCACCAGCCATGCCCTCGACATTGGATCGCGCTCGTTCGACCTCCAGAGGCCGTTCGAGACGGCGACGCCGCCTGGCTTTGCGACTCCTTGCACTCGGCGGTCTTCGCCCTTGAAGCCAGCGAGGTGCAGGACCTCCTCGGCCACGTTGGCTCGGCGCAGATGGGCGCCGCGGACAGGGCCGGGAGCGAGCTCGACCGGATGAGGGAGATCTCCGACTGGTGTGCCTACAGAGTCCACCGCTGACCGCGGCATTGCGCCCCCGGGGTCGGCCGGTTTTCTCGTTCCGCCTTGTTTTTTCCGCTGGGCATTGCACCCTCAGGGTCAGCCCTTGTCTTCCTTCTACCGCGCCAGGCGTTGTGCTTTTAGGGTCGGCTCTGTGCTGCGCGGCATTGCACCGCCAGGGTCAGGCCTCGTCTGTCCCTGCTCTGCTTGGCGGGAGCTGGAGTGCACTGGGAGCCGGATGCGCCCCGGGCCGCGCTTCTCGCTCTCATCCTGCTCGGCATTGCACCCCCAGGGTCAGCCGATTTTTCCGTTCGCATCTCCTCCTCTTTGCGCGGCGCAGGCTTGGGCATTGCACCCTCAGGGTCAGCCCTCGCCCCCGCGTCTTTCGCCCGGCTCTGCCGCTTTTGCTTTCGCCGCGCAGATCTGGGAGGCTGGCCCGACAGCGCGGCGGGAAATGCAATCTTCCCCCCTTGATCTCTCGAACCCCGTCTTCGTCGTCGCCCGCGCGAAGGATCGCAGATTATCCACCCCATTCGAGGGTTCCAGGCGGGGATAAGGAGGGCTGTCTCACGGTGCCCTCCTCCGAGAGGAAGAGGAGGAAGAGGAGTGGGAGGAGGAAGAGGAGGAGGAGGAAGAGGATAAGAAGGAGAACGATGTGGAGGAGGAGGAGGAGGAGGGGGATGATGATGATGCTGATGATGATGATGATGATGATGATGATGATGATGATGATGATGATGATGATGATGATGATGATGATGATGATGAGAATGATGATGAGGAGGATGAGGAGGAGGAGGAGGAGGAGGCGGAGAAGAGGAGGAGGAGGAAAGAACAATGAGAACGAGGAGGAAGCCGGGGGGCCCGCAGCAGCCCAAGAAAACCCCCAAGAGGACGCCGAGTTTTCAAAAGCGGCTGGCATTAATCTCAAGGATTCCTTGCGTTTCATGCGACATAACGAGATGCGCGAAAACTCTTAAAAAGTAGCTTTTTCCTGATAATCTACTTTTTCGTGTCAGAGGGCTTCTGCTCTGGATATGGATTTCCCTATGTATTTTGCACGATTGTGGTTGTACGCATTGAAAACTGGAGCGGCCGGTTGTTTGGTTGGCTCCAGCATCGGGGATAGACATACACGGCGCGCGGGCGCGACACTAACGCGCGGCTTTTGCGCTCCCAGAGTCAGCCGCGCGGCCCCTTGGCTGCCCGGCGCGTGCTGATGGCCTTGCAGAAGCCGATTGCCGCGTTCCCGCTCAACAGGCCAGCCCCGGGGTACACCGCTCGACTGAAGTGCGTGTTCTTCGAGGCGAAGCAAGTGCAGCATTTCGCGAAGGGCGTGGGGCGTTTCCTCGACCACACTGGTGCACCCATTTGGTTCGAGCTCACTGGCCAGTCTACCCAGGACGTGTTGATGAAGGCGCGCCTGTACCTCCCGGGCAAGGCGGGGACATTCAGCAACGTGACGGTGAAGAGCAGCTCGTACTACAGCGGCGGCCGCGTGATCAACCTGAACCCGAAGTCCAACGTGCGCTGCGTTGCCCTGGCGGGCGCCGACGCCTCCCAGCTACCTTCGGGGCCCGTGGCGCCTCGCGGGGGCCTGCGCGACGTGGGGATGTGCAACGACGGGGATCGAGTAGACGTCGTGGGCCGCGTGGTGGAGCAGAGGGCAGTGGCGTCGATCAAAAAGGTCGAGGTCTGGCTGAAGGACGAGGAGAGCGGCAAGTCCATTCTCGTGGAGCTGTGGGGCGACACGTTCTACGACATGGTGAAGGAGGCCCACGGCCTGGGAGACGTTGAGGAAGAGGCAGACCCCGTCGTGTTGCAGGTGGAGAACGCGCGCGTCGTGAGGAAGGAGTCCGGCCAGGTCCACCTGACTGCCGAGTTCTTCAAGGATTCCCAGAACGCATGTGCTTGGGCGCATTTGCAGCCGCGCCACCAGAAGGCCGAGGAGCTGAGAGCCCTGAGCGCCACGGTGGGCGAACGCATGTCTGCGGTGTGGGCCCCGAGCGGCGCGGTGGTGCGCATGCAGAGCCCGAAGCAGGGTTTGTACAAGACTTGCCTGCGCACATTGAAGACCTGCTCCCTCTCGTGGACGGAAAGTGCCGACGCAGCAAGCCCGCCGAACGCCGTGATGGAGGCATCCACCCAGTCGCCCGTTTCCGGGGGCCGGCCACTGCCCGCCGAGGTGCAGGTAGAGGTGCACGGCGCGTGGCTCACGGGCGTCTCCAACCCCGACCCCGTGTACACGAAGTGCAAGCACTGCCGCACCAAGATCAACCCGGAGGGCAACTGCAAGCATTTCATGAAGCACCGGCCAGAGCCAGACACAAACAAATCCGCTTTGAGCTCTGTGACCCTGGGGGATTTCACGGGCGGCATGGACGACATCTTGGCGGACGAGAACAGCCTGGTCGCGCTCGCCGGCGTCGCGAACCTCGACGAGTTGCAGCAGTTGATAGAGCAGCGCACTGTCGCAGGCATGTGCTTCCAGGTCCGATGCGACGTCGTCCTCGGCGCCAACCGTGAGAAGGTGGCCAGGCTATCGCAGGCCAAGCAGAGCCGGTCGGACGACGCTCGCGCGGAGTGCAACTTCGCCATATTGAAGGTGACGCCAGCGCTGATGGTGCCCTGGGGCGCGCCCCGGCGGCCCGCCCTCAAGCAAGTGTTGTCGCTCGTCGCAGACCACGGCGCGGGCGCCGTCCTTCCGGTCTCCAACCTCGCGACGGACCTGACGGACACGTTGTCCACCGCCAAGTGCAAGCAGACCGGCTGCGTCGCCGAGTGCGTCATGGTCCTGGCGCGCGCCCGGGGTGAGCCGACGCGCGCGGACCTCGGCGACATGGAAGAGATCACGCACGAGGAGGTCGTGTCCACTGTCGCGGACGGCGCCGACGACCCCGCCCCGTTCCGCCTGGAGATGCTGGTGCCCAAGAGTCGGGCGGGCGCGTCGCTCATGGATGAGGAGGACGTGGACTACCTCGTCGTCGGCCGCCCGCAGGGATCCAACCTCGCGTGGACGCTCGTGGCCGAGAACATTTTCTCGTGCAAGGACATGCCGGACGTTCGCAGCACTTTCAAGGAGGAGCTCCAGGGCTGTCGCGAACTGTTGGTGTCCAAGAAGACGTCGCTCGCGGGAAAGCGGTCGGCCAAGGAGTTGATCACTGAGACGCCTACGAAAGTCCGGTGCGTCCAGGAGACCAAGTAGGAGTCCGGCGATTCGTAGGTTCGGTCGACCCTAGTGCAAGGGGGCCAATCACGCGCGCCACGACGCCGTCTACCTGCTGGGCGCGCGCCGTGGCTGCCGCCCGCGGGGGCGCTTCGCCGTCAGGGCCAGCCCTCGTATTTTTCCGTCGGCCCCGCGCCCCCTTCGCTGCTGGGCATCGCGCCCTCAGGGTCGGCCCCCGTCCTCGCTTTTTGCCTTGCCCGGCATTGCACCCTCCGGGTCAGCCGGCCACCCCTTCGCCTCTCCGCTCCTTTCGCTGGGCATTCCTCAGGGTCAGCCCCCCGTCGTCGTTCTTTCCCTGCCCGATATTGCACCCTCAGGGTCAGCCGGCCCCCCATTTGGTTCTCCTTCTTTCGCCGGGCATTGCACCCGCAGGGTCAGCCCGGTCTTCCTCCATTCGGGGCATTGCGCCCGCGGGGTCCGCCGGAGCGCGCGGGGGCGCTTCTCTTGCGAGCCGTCGCGCGTCCCCAGTCATCATGATTTCGCCGCGCCGATCCGTTGAAAAATCGCGCTGGCTCACGGTGCCCTCCTCCGAGATGAAGAGGAGGATGAGGAGTGGGAGGAGGAAGAGGAGGAGGAGGAAGAGGAGAAGAAGGAGAACGATGTGGAGGAGGAGGAGGAGGAGGGGGATGATGATGATGCTGATGATGATGATGATGATGATGATGATGATGATGATGATGATGATGATGATGATGATGATGATGATGATGATGAGAATGATGATGAGGAGGATGAGGAGGAGGAGGAGGAGGAGGCGGAGAAGAGGAGGAGGAGGAAAGAACAATGAGAACGAGGAGGAAGCCGGGGGGCCCGCAGCAGCCCAAGAAAACCTCCAAGAGGACGCCGAGTTTTCAAAAGCGGCTGGCATTAATCTTAAGGATTCCTTGCGTTTCATGCGACATAACGAGATGCGCGAAAACTCTTAAAAAGTAGCTTTTTCCTGATAATCTACTTTTTCGTGTCAGAGGCTTCTGCTCTGGATATGCATTTCCCTATGTATTTTGCACGATTGTGGTTGTACGCATTGAAAACTGGAGCGGCCGGTTGTTCTCCGGGCCGGGCATTGCACCCTCGGGGTCAGCCCCTGTCCTCGCTGTCTTCCTGCGCCGGCATTGCATCCTCCGGGTCAGCCGTGCTCCCGTTCGCCTTTCCTCTTCTCCGCTGGGCAGTGCACCCCCAGGGTGAGCCCCTGCCCCCGCGCGTTTCCCACGCCGGCATTGCACCCTCAGGGTCAGCCGGTCTCACCGTTATTCTTTCCTGCTGGCCGCCGGGCATTGCACCCTCCGGGTCAGCCCTCGTCCTCGGTCTTTTCCTGCCCCGGCATTGCACCCTCAGGGTCAGCCGGCCTCCCGTTCGCCTCTCCTCCTCTCCGCCGGGCAGTGCACCCTCAGGGTCAGCCCATGTCCACCCTCTCTTAATATTGTATTGAACATGTCGTAGCCATTTTGGCTTTCGGCTCAAATATTTTTGTGCATGTGCGACGAATTGTTGTTGGAGAGGCCTTGCGGCCGGTGCGCGCTTGCCCGCGGAGGGGCCGCGTGGCGCGTGTACTCCCATGGTCAGCCGCGCGGCCCCGGGGCCGTCTGGCGATTGCACCCCCAGGGTCAGCCGGGCGGCTTCGCCGGGCGCCATGCTGGCGCGGAAGCGCCCTGCGGCGTCCGACTTCGAGGACTTGTTATTTCGTTCTTCTACGTGCATGGAGGCGCCCTCTGGATTTCATTGGATAATTGATTGTGGATCTATCAGGCGAGCGCAGACAGTTCATGGCTGCATTCGTGCTCGGTCAGAAGCGCGCCAGTGCGCGATCAAGACGTCCTGGTTAGAAAAATCGAGGGTGCATGTCACGTGGAAGTCTTTAGCAAAGCAAGCGCATGTACTTCACTTTTTCTCTGCGCATCTCCCAGCAGATGTTTACCAGCTTGTGAGTGTCACGCTAGCGCCGCAAGCAATCAAGAAGACGGGGCGTCGCCCTTGGCTCGACGAGGTCAGCAAGGCTGCATTGAACACCCCGGGGAAAGTCAAATGGGCACATGCAGCTAACGTTCTCAAAAGGAGCAAAATGGGCGCGATTTCTAGAGGCTCGTACCAAGCCCTGTTCGATAACCCAGGAAAGCGGCGTGATGATTGGGAAGGCTTGATGGATGACATTCTTTTGGTTTACATCATGGGCCGTGAGTTAAGGGCAGCTTTCAAAGTACACAAGGGCGAAGATGGTGAGCACAGTGAAACGCTGTTGCAAGAATTTAAAGATTTTGTCTTAGAGACCACGGTCGACGGCGGTGACATCAGCACCTTCAAGTTTCATCGCATGATGCTAAGGAGGAACCGGGTGCGCGAATTGATGACGCCGGGTGTTCCAGAGTGCTCATTAGCATCTGACTTCATCCACAGCCAGCGCCACAACGTTCATCTGGAAGATGACATTCAAGGGTTTTTACCGTTGTATGATCGCTTGCGTGCCGGCGCGCGGACTCTCAAGGACAAGATGGGCGATTCGCACAACATTCTTGGTGTGGTCGGGCAGAAGCCGCTCGGTTGCAACCTTTTTCTTGGAGAGCGAAGCCCCGCGCTTGACAGAGATAGATGATGTCTTTTCGTTTATCCACAACCATAAGGGGCCATGTGGTGACGGGAAGACATCCGATACAAGGTATTTTGTAGGCGTTGGCCCAGGACAGAATGCCACGTGCGCGGCGGCAGTGCTCAATACATTCGAAGGGGATAAATTGAAAGCATTGGTTGGCATTGCCAAAGCCAGTAGCGTGGACGAGGCTTTTCAGCACATGTTATCTTTACGTGATTTCGGAGGAGAAGACTCGACTCGATTTATAATCAAAAATATGTTAGCGCCGCTGGGTTGTGCGGACATGCAAATGCCGTCTCAGTTATTCGCGTGGTCTGAGCAGTGGCAGGCTCTCGTCATTGCAGGCCCCAATGCAAATAAATTTTTCTTTTGCTGGTATGGTGAGGAGAAAGACCACACGAAACGGCACGTGGCCAATGAGAATCGCGTGCGGAATACGTTGAAACGCATCAATGCGAAGCTGCCGAAGAGGTTGGTGTGCAATTGGCATACAAAGCAGTTCAAGAAAGAGCTGCGGCGCATGAGTGCAGTATCTCTCCAAGAGAATATATGCATGGCCTGGCACAACGGGGAATTCCTTTTCTCTGGCCGTTCCGGTTTCCTCAGCCGCTGCCCCACGAGAGTATGAGTTTTCAAAAGACGCATGGTGCTTTTTGGTCTGACACATGGCGCGGGGAGGGAAAAAAGAGAAGAAAGCGGGAGGGATGTTTCAGGGGCGCGGGGGGATCAGAGTCCGGGGAAGGGTGTCTCGTGGGATGTTTCGTGAGGTGTCTCGTGGGATGTTTCGTGAGGTGTTGCCCCGTTGGGTATTGTGAAAACGTGCCCATGCTCCACATGTCTATATCCCTTTCCGGGACGCCAACAGAGGAACGGACAGTTAAATATCGCCGGCCAGCCCTGGCAATTGACGGCGAACGGGCAGGAACTCTCCCGTGAGAAACGGTCCTCTCCCTCCCGAGCGGATCGAGCCCAGGGCGCGTGGGGCAAATGATGGAGCCATTGCTGGAGCCATGGTACCTGCGGATCCGCTTCATCCTCGATGAGATGGATCCATCAGAAGGCATCACGTCCGAGGTGCGCGAAGAGGCCGAGGAGCAGGATGGAGGAGGGGGCGGCGAGGAGGAGGAGGAGGAGGAGGCGGAGGAGGCGCAGGCCAAACAGAGGAAGGACGCGGCGGGGCGTCAGGCGATGGTGAATGAGGATGCGGCGGGCGGGGCCCAGGAGGATGAGGAGACGGCGAGGAGGCGCCTCAAGCGCGCGGAAGAGTGGAGGAGAAGGAGGGAGGAGGAGAAGGAAGGCGCCAGGAGAAAGAAGGAGGAGGAGGAGGCGAGGGCCCTGAGGGGCAGAGATGAGCTCATGGAGGCGGCGCTGGCGCAGCAGGAGGGCGACGAGGTGACCAGGATGAGGCGTGCGCTGGAGGCCCTCAGGAGGCAAGCGGACGACATGGAGAGGAGGGCGACGATCAAGGAGACTCTGGCAAAGGAGGTGAGGAGGCAGAGGGAGGCGCAGGCGAAGGAGGAGGAGGAGGCGAAGGAGGATGTCAAGAGGAGGCTGAGAGAGAGGCTGCACGAGAAGATCCAGAAGGCCCGCCGATAGAGAGTAGGACATGATAGGCGGCCCGCGGCGCCCGTGCGATAGGCCTGGCACGACGGGGAATTCCTTTTCTCAGGCCGTTCCAGTTTCCTCAGCCGCTGCCCCACGAGAGTATGAGTTTTCAAAAGACGCATGGTGCTTTTTGGCCTGACACATGGCGCGGGGAGGGAAAAAAGAGAAGAAAGCGGGAGGGATGTTTCAGGGGCGCGGGGGACTTCCCGGGGTGAGCTTTTCTAACTGCTCCTCTCCCCTTCCTCCCCGGGCAGTGCACCCTCAGGGTCAGCCCTCGTCTCGCTTTCTCCTTGCTCGGCATTGCACCCTCAGGGTCAGCCGGTTTCCCTGTTCGCCTTGCCTCCTCTTCCGTTTTCGCTGCGCAGATCAGGTCAGTTGGCTCGACAGCGCGGCGCAGGCTTGGGCATTGCACCCTCAGGGTCAGCCCTCGCCCCCGCGTCTTTCGCCCGGCTCTGCCGCTCCTGCTTTCGCCGCGCAGATCTGGGAGGCTGGCCCGACAGCGCTAGATAGTCACGCCGATAGAGAGTAGGACATGATAGGCGGCCCGCGGCGCCCGTGCGATAGAAACAAGCTAGGAGGAGGGAGGGGACAGTTGGCTAGGTAGTCAGAAAAATAGGTGTCTCGTGGAATGTTTCGCGGGGTGTCTCCTGGAATGTTTCGTGAGGTGTCTCGTGGGATGTTTCGTGAGGTGTCTCGTGCCCTGGGGCTCGTGGCGCCGACTTCGAGCTCCCGACCCCATCTTGGAGCGTCTATCCGCTCGCCCTTCGACCCCATCCTGCACGAGCGCCCC